CACATGGCCTGGGATTCATGTATGTCAGCAAGCTATTGCTCTAGAAAGAAGAAATAAAGGCCTGATTGTTTGGGTAAGGGCTCTGCAGATATAGAGGCAATGGTGAGAGCTAAAAACTTTTAGTTAAGTTTTTAGAAATACATTTATAGATTTAAAAAAAAAAAATTTTACCAAATTAAAGCAGCAGTCTGGATGCATAATCTCTCAAAATTTAGGATGAGGCAGGAAATGGCTAAACATGAACCTATGATTACCCAGGATTCTCTGCACTCCTACTTAGAGCCCATCCAGATATAGAAGGCAAGCTTGGGAACCAGGGCTTTAAGGGACGGGGTGTGACAGGTTGATTCTCCGGCAAAAAGTAAAGACAAAAGAATCAGAACACAAAGTGACAGATTGAAAATTTTAAAACTTGGTCCTTCACAGGTGGTCCGAGACACACTACTTGGGCATTTTAGGGAGGTGTACTTCCCATGGGCATGGAAGAGACCAAGATAGGCTATAAAGTACCATCAGGAGTCTTTGTAGTTAGAAGAACTAAAAGGTGTCAACATGGGGCAGGGACTGACTTTGGGGGCAGATGGACCTGGTTTGAGTTAGGATGTGTCCTTTGAAGTTGACCTCTATCCAAGGTGCCCATACTCACCTTGTCTGGCACACTCACCACTTCTGCAACCCCTCATCATGTGCCCTTTGCACCTATTTTTTTTTTTGGTGGTCTAGACATGACTTCCTTCTTTACATTCTTCCAACACCCCATGTGTATGTGTTATTAATGTGCCCAACATATTCACCATGTCTGTTTGCTTCATGACACATTCTATGTAAACATGCTGTTAGTCTATTTCACTGGATTCCCAGCTTACTGAGGGCAGGCACAGCACCATCATTGTTTTGTTTTGTTTTGTTTTTTGCACCATTTAATTCTTAGCACCTAGCATTGTACCTGGCTGGCATCAATCAGTCTTCAATGAATATTGTTAAATAAATAGATGTTCTTTAAATATCTCTAATTTTTCTGTAAAATAGAGATAAAGCTGAAACTTGCTTTAAGTGTTGCAGAAATTAAATAATGTAGCATACATGAAGTACTCAGAATAATGCCTGGGACATAGCTAACAATCAATAAACATTAGCTGACATTAATATTCAGAACATCAGTTCATAGCCTAGGGGCCTGCTTTCAAATTAAGGAGTTATGTGAATCACCTGAACTTCTGTGCAAATTGTGAGTGTACATTTTTCTGAAAAGAAGACCCTTAATATTCAGACTCTCAATGGAGACCATTACTCCATCCTCCAAAAGAAATTGACAATCATTGCCATAGAGTAACAGTAAATATTAAACTATAGAGAATAACACAGCAGCCCATTTTACCTGAGTGTAGGGACTACTAATTCTAATCTTCACTCAGTCCTAATTTGCTTTAATACTCAAATTACAGAGCACTGAACTAAGATCCAGTGGATACCGGCTCTCATCCAAGTACTTCTACTTTCATTTCGCTCTATGATCTTGGTTAATTCACCCACCCTCTTATTTTAGAAAACTTTTTTGCCCTAGATAAGGCAGAGATAATGCAAGGAGGAATTAACTTTTTTTAAAAATTTGAAATCCTCACCCAAGAATATGGTGTTGATGAGAGAGAGAGAGAGAGAGATGGAGAAAGAGAAACACAATTCCCCTCCTCTCCCCCAGGCATGTGCCCTGACAGGGAATCAAACCCACATCCTTTTGATACTTAATATTCAGAACATCAGTTCATAGCCTAGGGGCCTGCTTTCAAATTAAGGAGTTATGTGAATCACCTGAACTTCTGTGCAAATTGTGAGTGTACATTTTTCTGAAAAGAAGACCCTTAATATTCAGACTCTCAATGGAGACCATTACTCCATCCTCCAAAAGAAATTGACAATCATTGCCATAGAGTAACAGTAAATATTAAACTATAGAGAATAACACAGCAGCCCATTTTACCTGAGTGTAGGGACTACTAATTCTAATCTTCACTCAGTCCTAATTTGCTTTAATACTCAAATTACAGAGCACTGAACTAAGATCCAGTGGATACCGGCTCTCATCCAAGTACTTCTACTTTCATTTCGCTCTATGATCTTGGTTAATTCACCCACCCTCTTATTTTAGAAACCTTTTTTGCCCTAGATAAGGCAGAGATAATGCAAGGAGGAATTAACTTTTTTTAAAAATTTGAAATCCTCACCCAAGAATATGGTGTTGATGAGAGAGAGAGAGAGAGAGAGAGAGAGAGAGAGAGAGAGATGGAGAAAGAGAAACACAATTCCCCTCCTCTCCCCCAGGCATGTGCCCTGACAGGGAATCAAACCCACATCACTTTTGATACATGGGACTCCAACCAACTGAATACCTGTCAAGGGCTGGATAATTTATTTTTTAATCTTAAAGATATAAAAATAAAGAACTACATGAAGAATGTAAGATCTGCAAAGAAAAAGATCTCGTACTCAGAGCATCCTTTTTCCTAATCTGTAAAGTAAGTGAATTAAATTAGATGACATTTAAGATTTTTTTCTCTAACTATTCTCCACAATTCAAAGACTTTAAATATAAATAGCCTCTGTTCTGGGAATTTGTTTTCTATTTGAGTTTTCACTGTATTAATTTGTGCCATTGCCCACATCAAGGACACTATTTTTATTGACCCATTTGCAAAACTGGGGTAGGGGTGAGAAAGTAGAAGCCATGTTCTGCTCTTTGCTGATTTTGATTTCATATATTTAACATTGTGGTGAGCTTTCTGGACTTAAGTTAAGCGAGGATAGCTAGAGGAACCCAAGAGTTGGGGAAGCCAAGAGGACCAAAATTCCAGCTCAAAATATTCTCCCCAGAGGGCTCAGCAGATCATGAATGGGAGAAGAATCTAACTCCTCTCTTTGGAGCTGTAAATTATGTACCCTCCTTACCCATCCCCTATGAATGCATGAGTTTTGCACAGCAAGGTAACAGTGTCTTGTATTGGAGTGAAGATCTATCTTAGGAAATTTGAGTTTCTAAAGAGGAGAAGGAGACAGAGTAAAGTGGAGGCTGTTAACTCACAATAATAGGACATTTGGGAAAGTTTCATACAGGAGAAGTCAAGGGCTCTGAATGCCAGGAAACAAAGAATATGACCCTGCAGTTTCTTTGGAAGGTAGGGGACCTAAAAAGGACACCGCTTCTGTTGGTTAGCTCAAGAGAGCTCACCTAGGCCAGTATTGACACATTGAAAACATAACCTCACTCTGGCCAGATGGAGCTTTCCAGATAGAATCCAGACTAATGAATCTAGTCACATCCAGATCACTCTCTGAAGTTCTAATTATTGTCTGTTCATCCAGCTCCTTCTTCAAAGCCCATTATCTGAAGGCACATGGATAAATATAATATCATCTCAGGTAATAACAAACCCAAACATTTGAACCATAAAGAGAATTTTCTGCATTCTGCTCTGGTTTGCTTCCTATACCATTGTTTTGCTGATGGCCCAATTTCTCCATGAGGAAAATTCTACTCTGAAACATAGTTGAGCCTGGAGTGCAATGAAATCACATTGCCTATAACTCACACAGTCTCTCTGACCTGATTTCTATAAATAGATAAATTCGTCAAGGAAAAACACAGAATCAAAATCTAAAAGCAACCTCAGGAAATTATTCATTTTAGACTTTTGCCTCAGGGCAAATTAAAATTTCAATGATCCCTAAAACCCATGTCTCTCTGTATTTTTTAATAGCGATTCAGATTAAATAAGATTTCTTGATGACTCTTAATATATGATCAATTTTTCTGTCATAAGAGTTCTTTTTTCCGAATGTAGGAGAACAGATAAGAACTAAATAAAGCTTCTAAACTGTAGTGGCTGTCATTTTCCATCAGGAAAGGATAGATTACTTTCCTGATGTAACATATATTCATGCCTTCACCCATTTATTCATTCATTCGACATTCACTCGAAAAATATTTATCGAATGCCTACTATATCTAGTCACAGTTTTAGAGAGATACAGTTTATTGGTTCGCTAGGGCTGCCATAACAAAGCACCATGTCTTAAACAACAGAAATGTATTGTCTCACAGTTCTGGAGGCTAGAAGCCAAGACCAACGTATCAGTGGGATCGGCTTCTTCTGAGAGCTGTGAGGGAGAAACTGTTCCATGCCTCTCTCCTAGCTTCTGGTGGTTTGCAATCTTTGGCATTCCTTGGTTTGTAGAAGCATTGCATTCTCCCTATGTGCATGTCTCTGTCCAAATTTCCCCTTTTATAATATCATCAGTCATTGGATTAAGACCCACCTTACTTCAGTATAACATCATCTTAACCAGCTACACCTGCAACAATCTTATTTCTAAATAAGGCCATATGCTGAGGTACTGAGGGTTAGGATTTCACTATATGAATTTTGAGGGGAAACAATTCAATTCATAACAAATAAGAATAAAAAAAAAATCCCTGCAACCAAGAAGCTTACCTTTAAATGACATTTTGGTGTGGTGTGTGTGTGTGTGTGCAAGAAAATGAAAAATGAAGAAAGAAAGCAGAATAGGGGTATAGTGCAGTGATGAAGTTTAAGGGATTGCTACTTCAGATATACATCTCTTTGATGAAGTGCCTTTTAAATAGACCTGACTAAAGTAAGAGGCTGAGTCTGGTGAAAATCCAAGAGGAAACATGTTCTAAGCAAAGGGCACAGTGAGTGCAAACACTGTAGAGGAAAACCTCTCACTAACGCCTCTGATTGCAAAATGATCCCGGGAGTGTTATGTCAGGAGTGACATATTCTGATAGATATTTCACTACCAGCTCCTAATCCTTTCCTCTCCCTTTTGAAGATTCATTTACATAAATAGTTATCTAGCATTTATTATACTCCAGTCATTGCTTGGAGCTAAATGAAAATCCAAACAGGAATAATCTAAAGTAAGTTTATAAATGACATTAGATTTGGATAAACCTTGATAACTCATTATAATTTCGCTTTTTACCTGACTTGTAAGAGTGACTTCTCAGAATTCCCCTGGGAATTCTTCCTTCCACAGTGCATTACAACTTCACAACAGTGCACCTAGATATATACAACAAATATTAACAGACCTTAAGAGAGAAATACAATAATAGTAGGGGACTTTAATACTCTACTTACATCATTTAATATATCATCCAGACATAAAATCAGTTAAAACTAAACTTATCTGGGTGATCACTTCACAAGCATATACATGTCTAATCACTATGTTGTATACCTGAAACTAATATAATATTGTATGTCAACTGTAATTGAAAAATAAATTTAAAAAAAAATCAGTAAGAAAACACTGGCCTTAAACAACATGTTAAACAAGATGGACTTAAGAGATATTTATAGAACATCCCATCCAAAAGTGACAGATGCACATTCTTCTTAAGTGCACATGGAACATTTTCCATGATAGATCATGTTAGATCACAAAACAAGTCTTAATAAATTTAAAAAAATTAAAATCCTACCACGTATCTTTTCCAACAATAATTAAATAAAACTAGAAATTAATTATATAGAGAAAACTATAAAATTTACAAATATGTGGCAATTAAACAACATGCTACTGAATAATTAATAGGTCAAAGAAGAATAAAAATAATCTAAATATATCTTGAGACAAGTGAAAATTGAAATCTAACGTATCAAAATTTATAGGATGCAGCAAAAGCAGTTCTAAGAGGGAAGTTCATAGCAATAAATGCCTCAAGAATCAAGATATGCATAACCCATAGACAATAGTGCAGTGAAGCCCTGGGGAGAGGGCAGGAGTGCGGAGGAGGGGGTCAATGAGGGATAATGAGGGAGGAAAGCATCTGTAATTATTTCAACAATAAAGATAAATTTTTTAAAAAGACAAGTCTCAAATAAATAACCTAACTTTATACCTCCAGGAACTAGAAAAATAAGAACAAATGAAGCCCAAAATTAGTAGAAGAAGACAAATAACAAAGATTTGAGTAGAAATAAAGACTAAAAAGACAATAAAAAAAGATTAATGAAACTAAGAGCTGGTTCTTTGACAAAATAAACAATATTGACAAACCTTTAGCTAGACTCGCCAAGAAAAAAAGAGAGAGCGCAAATAAATAAAATCAGAAATGAAAGAGGAGATCTTATAACTGATAACACAGAAATACAAAGGATCACAGAAGACTACTATGAACAATTATACACTAACAAATTGGACAACCTAAAAGAAATGGATAAATTCCCAAAAACATACAACCTACCAAAACTCAATCATGAAGAAATAGAAAACTTAATCTGGCTGATTACTAGTAAGGAGATTGAATCAGTAGTCAGAAACCTCCCAATAAATAAACATTCAAGATCATATAGCTGTGCTGGTGAATTCTACCTAACATTTAATGAAGAATGAATACCAATCCTTCTCAAACTCTTCAAAAAATAGAAGAAGAGGGAACTCTTCCAAACTCATTTTTTCCAGGCTAGTAGTATTCTCATACAAAAACCAAACATGGACATCACAAGAAAAGAAAATAACAAGCCAATATCCCTAATGAACATAGATACAAAAATCTTCAACCATGTTAGCAAACTGAAATCAACAACACATTGAGAAGATTATAAACATGATCAATTGAGATTTATTCCAGGGATGTAAGAATGATTTAACATCTACAAATCACTCATTAACAAAAAAGGATAAAAATCATATGATCATCACGATATTGAAAAGTCATTTGACAAAATTAAACATCCATTTATGTTAAAAACTCTCAACAAAGTAGGTATAGAGGAAACATACCTTAACATAAGAAAGGCCATATATGGCCCAGGCAATGTGGCTCAGTGGTTGAATGTCAAACTATGAACCAGGAGGTCACGGTTTGATTCCTAATCAGGGCACATGCCTGGTTTATGGGCTCGGTCCCCAGTGGGGGGCTTGCAGAGGCAGCTAATCAATGATTCTCTCTCATCACTGATGTTTCTATCTCCCTCTCCCTTCCTCTCTTAAATAATTAAAATGTCCATACTACCCAAAGCAATCTATAGACTTAATGCAATCCCTATAAAATACCAATGGCATATTTCCCTCTAGAACAAATACTCCAAAAATGTATATGGAACCAAAAAGGACTCCGAGTAGCCGAAGCAATCTTGAGAAAGAAGAACAAATTTGAAGGGATCACAATACCAGATATCAAGTTATACTAAAAAGTCACTATAGTCAAAACAGCCTGAGACTGGCACAAGAATAAGCATATAGATCAATGGAACAGAACAGGGAATCTAGAAATCAACACAAGTCATTATGCTCAATTAATATTTGACAAAGGAGGCAGAAGCATACAATGGAGTAAAGACAGTCTCTTCAATAAATGATGTTGGAAAAATTGGACAGGTGCATACTAAAAAATGAAACTAGACCACCAACTTACACCATACACAAGAATAAACTCAAAATTGATAAAAGAATTAAATGTAAGCCATGAAACCATAAAAACCCTAAAAGAAAACATAGGCAGCAAAATATCAGACATCTCGAGTAGCAGAATTTTCACAGATACATTGCCCAGGGCAAGAGAAACAAGGAAAAAGATAAACAAATGGGACTACATCAAACCACTACATTCTTTTAATACTTCCAAACCATTAGCTTAAAAATCTACTCTTGACTTTTTCTGGGGTCATCTCTGAGAATAGCTGACTTGTTTACGGACTGTGGAATCTATCTCTTTTTAAAAAAATGGATTGGCATTTTTGTTATTTATTTATCTTTTGGTCTCTGCAAAATCTTAGTAATTGTTAAGATTAATCCTAAGCTTACATTCACTCATTCATAAAGAACATTTTGAACATCTACTATTTGTCCCACACCCCAGTTTTCTCAGTTACCTGGCATAGTTTAACACCCAGTGCTGGCAACTAGAGTTCATTAAAGTAACCAGGCTTTGTCTTACTGTTCACTCATTTACTTAGAGTTACAGTCAACTCCCTTTTTGCACTTAATGCTGAGTCATGATTTCCTCCTTAGTAAAGTAGGTTAATAGCTATTGTGACTACCTCACAGGGTAAAAATACAATGAGACAGGTGTTAAAAACAAAACAAAACAAAAAACACATGCCAACAGACAAAGAACCACCCAAAATAATTAAAGGTGTTATTTTGTTTTTGTCCTTCCTGAAGACCACTTTCCTTGCTGCAGAATTTAAAAGCAAAAAAATGAATTTAATAAGTTTTGTTATCTGTTATCATTATACCATCTGTCCCCCAGGCAGCTGGGTGATCACTTTCTTGTTCTTCCAGTTTCTGATACAGAAGAAAAGCTCCTTTTGTGGTCCTAAACATTCAACAAGCTCAAACTTTATTTTTTATTTGTTATTTATACCCCAATGGTATTTTATATTAAGACACAAATACAGCACTGGCTGGTTTGTCTCAGTGGAGAGAGTGTCAGCCTATGGACTGAAGGGTCCCGGGTTTGATTCTGGTCAAGGGCACATCACTTGGTTGCAGGCTCCCAGCCCTGATCAGGGGCATGTGGGAGGCAACCAAACGATGTATCTCTCTCACATCGGTGTTTCTCTCTGTCTTTCCCTCTCCCTCCTGTTCTCTCTAAAAATCAATGGAAAATATTCTCAGGTGATGATTTAAAAATAAAAATAAAAAAACAGATACAAATACAATCAGTTGCAACCAATAAAAGATGAAGAGACCAAGAATAAAAGGAAGAGATGGATGGGTAAGAAAACCTCAGCTAAACATCTGTGCAATGGAACATATACTTATCTGTACTTTTTGGAAATAGATTAAAAAACAACACTGGACTGGAGTGTGGTACAAGAGGAGTTACAGGGCATTCTCTGGTTAGTAACAGGAAGTATAACAAGAAACACACTTCTCTGTCCCTCTAAACTCTAAGAGATATCACAGATAGAATTTTACATAAAGAACACAAAATAACCTAACAGAAAATGTCTCCAACAGCATTCTCCAAATGGTTACATTCTCCAAATAGTTACTTTTATATGCAATCCTATCTAATAATAGACAAACATGGTAATTGACCGTACCTTCACTATGCTTCCCATTGGCTAATCAGGGAAATATGCAAATTAACTGCCAACAAAGATGGCAGTTAACCGCCAACAAAAATGGCAGTTAATTTGCATACATAGGCACAATGCTGGGAGGCGAAAGGGGAAGGACAGAAGAAGCCGCCTGCCACAGACGGTGATCGGAAACCCAGGCGGGCCTCCTTTGCCCTGCACCCCGGCCCATGATCGGAGAAGCCGGCGCCCGCC